GAGGTCATCCAGAAGATTCAAAATAGGCTTATATTGTCTTTTAAAGACTATCATCAAAATGAAAACACAAAATTAAGAAGTTCAGGAGAGGAATGGCAGACTTCCTGCGATCCCGCCACAGACCCTTGTCTGAGGAACCGTACTGTCTGCATCTTCTCTACTCCTGCAACAAACAGGCTCTTGCTTCCTTAGCTTCTGAGTTAGAGATTCCCTGAGTCAGGACTACCCTCTGACACTGCTTAACAGGGGAAAAGCCATATTTATAGCTAATGAATAAAATATTAGCCAACTCTGCTAAGTACTGACAGGAAGCCCAGAGCTAACTGCCACCCTGGGACTAACCTGCTTTGCTCACACAAATAGGGGCTGCTTATTCAAGAGATATGCCAACCAGCTTGTTTCACATGACAAAAATGACCTCCAAAGAGTCACTTTACGGTTGAGAATGAATGAGACATTAGTATTCCAGAGATAACAAGGGATGAAGAGGCCAAGGGTTGAAAAAATCAAGACTCATTGAGCATCTTCTATATACTTCATGCTTTATACAATTTATGTTGTTTAGTCTTTATTACAATCAATTAAGTAAATATTGTGTCCACTTTACAGATGTGTATATCAAAGCGCTGAGCAGTTAAATGACTTGTCTAAAGTATGGAGGAGAGGTTTGAACCTATGCTAATCTGACTCCAGACCTGTAGCTGTTCCATTACACAATGCTGCTTCTCATATTTAACATGCAGTATGAAAGGGCTCAGAAATGACAATGTATATTGTAAATGCAGTGACTTTCTAACAAGATGATTAAAATATATATCCAATAGAAATACAACTAAAATACAAAGACTCCTATTTTGTGAATAATGGTTGAAAACAATGAGTTTAGAGAAGAATGTAGTCCTTATATGTTTAAGAACAGTCATATAAAGAAGGAGTAAAGGCATTGTCTATCACAGCAGTGAATAGATCTTGGACAGATAATTGGGAGTCTGAGGTAGGGAAGCCATTTTCCTTTTCCAGCTCAATTTGAAGGACTTTTGAATAAATAAACAAAAGGAGATAACAGAAGCATAGGTTGATCAAACAAGGCATCTCTAAGAGGGTGACACTTGTGCATGTATGTGTGTCTGTATGTAAAATGTTTTTCTTTGTACACTGCTATATCCTCAATATATATGAGGGCTTTGCATATAGTAGCTGCTCAGTAAATACATGCTGAATGAATGAAAATCTGCCCCCAGAAAGAAAAACACTGGACTCTCCAGGTAATGAGCTCCCCATCAAAAGATTTTTGCAGAGTTTAAGGTTCAGAGCATGGATTCCTACTTTTGGTGGGAGGTTATATAATAGCTAAGCAAGCTTTGCTGAACACTCTCTAGATAGTAGGCACTGCGCTACACACTTTACAATCATTATTTCATTTAACCCTCACTATAGCTGTATGAATTAGGTACTATTAATATCCCATTTTACTTAAGTAGAAACAGAGGTTTATAGAGGTTAAGGCATTTGTTCAAGGTTACCTACATATTAAGTGGTAGGGCTTAGAGTAAAAACCCTAGGCTTTTGTTAATATGCTGTACAGCCTGGCTACATCAGATAATTGCCAGGTTCCCTTCCAGTAACAATATCCAACATGCTGCATTTTGTATTTTTAATCTAATATCTGTACTGAAGATTACAGCCATGAATATGGAAGAAGTTCTTCCTAAACAAGTGCCAGTTTCCAAGATAGTTGTTCTTTAAGGCTGCTCAGCATCATGCCACTTACTGGTTCATTGATAAGGTAAAATCCAACCTCTGTAGCATGGCACTTAGTACGCTTTAGGATTCAACCTGACCTCTTAGTTTTCCGTATCAGAATACTTTTTGTTCTTATCTTCCTCTTTATTCCTACTGCCTTGCTTTCCAACATGTTCTGTCTCTATATTGAGCATTCATTGGTCCATCTGTCCACCCATCCATCTATCCATCCACCCACCCAGAAGTCAGGAACGTTGTAATTTCTGGAAAGAATGATACCCTACCCTCGCCCAATTTACAATCTCATTGAAGGGAACAAATAAATAACCAATCTAATTCTGACCCATCATGCAGGATACATCTCAAGCTCTTTCATCTTCCACGAAGCTGCGCGGAAGTATCCTGGCCCCTCCTCTTCTCTTTCACTTTGTACTCTTACAGGACTATGCCTGAATCATAACCGAGGGGACCTCACTTCAGATGATGTTTAGGTTCTAAAGTCCATGTGAAAGGACAGAATAGTCAAATTGCCTTTGTAAATCCCTGGGAAGCATTTAGAGACTAACTGCAGTTTCCCAATGCTTGACCATCACAGCAAGTTTGTCCCCTGTGCTGAAATGGATTGCTGTGCCTCTGACTAAAGGGCAGAGAGAAAGCATAGAGCCAAGTTGTAGGAAAAATATGTACTGTGCTAAACACTAATCACAGCACACTCCTAATCACACTGAGGTGCTCCCAGTATGGGAGGCTTGATGGAAACAAGACTGACACAGAGCACAGCAGAATTACATTGTCTCCTCCAACCGTAACACCGGGGCCCAAATTCACCGAGTGAATAGTGCAAATCATTGCCTGTTCTGTCTAAACTGTTCTCTCTCTTTCACATGTATGCACATAGAATGTGGCTCCACTGACTGACCTTGTGCTGTGATTTAACACTTTCAAATGGACAACTAACCCAAGAGCTCCTGGAGCACATGACTTTTATTCTGCATCACACAGTTGCTATTGAACTAGGTTGTCTTCTCTATTCCTTGCTATATAAGATCCTCCATGATTTGGATCCTAGCTTCATCTACAGTCCCATTTCTTTCCATTCCTTACTGTACTGTCTGCACTCTAACCCTACTTACCTATTTCTAGTGTCTGCAGATGAGGCATGTTACTTCACACCCCCTGCCTGTGCCACCAGTGCTCCTTCCCGTGTTACCCAGCGTGGTTACTCTCTATACTGACGGCACATGTCTCCTCTTCAGTGATAGGCTGATCAGATTAACACCCTTACTCTTCACCTCTTCCTGGATCTCAGCTCTTTCCCATGGAAATGTTCATTCAATCGCCACCCACTCTGATTCTGGGCTTGGCCATGTGACTCGCTTTGGCCAACAGGATGTCAGCAGATGTGACATGGCAGAGGCTTGAAAAGCATTTGTGTAGTGGGGCTCATCATGCTTGTCTAAGACTGCTAGGGGCATGTTCCTCAGCTAGCTTGCTGAGGGTGAGGCAGATGGTGCTACGTCAGGGCAATCCTAGATCAGCCAGCTGCAAGCTGCTGCCAGACACACAGCAACCCCAGTCAGTATCAGCAGGGCTGCCTAGATAGTCTGCAACATAGGAGCAATGCCAGCTGCGCCCAGCTCAGATCAGCTGAACCCATGTTCAGGTTGTAGGCTGTTGATGCTTTGCTATTGATTATTATGCAGTATTACTGTAGAATAGATACCTGATATATTTTCTGTAAAGACTACCCTAATCTCCCTACTCTAAATCTTATTCCTTCCTCTATCACAAAACTTAACAACATATTCTATTATAAACAATTAATGTGATGAATGAATAACTATTATGATTATTTGTTTTTATGTTTAGTTGTCCTTCTAAGACTGATCTTCTTGAGAACAGGAACACTTTGTGAGGGAGGTGAAGTGACAGAGTCAAAATAGTTTGGACATACCTGTTAGTACAGCCATGATGGAAAACAGTAGAGAGGTTCTTCAAAAAATTAAAATGAACTATCATTTGATCCAGAAATCCCAAATATATCTGAAGGAATTGAAATAGGTATCTTGGATAGCTGCATTCCTATATTAATTGCATCACAATTCACAATAGTCATGATATGGAAACAATCTGTTTATTTTACTGACAGATGAAAGGACAAAGAGGATGTGGTACATATATACACAGTGGAATATTATTCAGCCATGAGAAAGCAGGAAATCCTGCCATTTGCAACATTATGGATGAACTTTGAGGGCAGTACGCTAAGTGAGACAAGTCAAACAGAGAAAGACAAATACTGTATGATATCATATGTATGTGGAATCTAAAGAAACTAAACTTGTAAAAACAGAGAGTCGAATAGTGCTTACCAGGCGCAGGGGGCGGAGGAACTGGGGAGATGTTGTTTAAGGATACGAACTTACAACTAGTAGATAAGTAAGTTCTAGAGATCTAATGCGCAACATAGTGACTGTAGTAAAAAATACTGTATTATAGACTTCAAAGTTGCTAAGACCCTAGATCTTAACTGTTCTCAACACAAAAGAGAAATAATTATGTGAGATGATAAAGGTATTACTAGTGCTACCGTAATCATATTGCAAAATATAAATATGCCAAACCAACTCGCTGTATACCTCAAACAGTGTTGTATTTCAATTGTATCTCAATTTAAAAAAACAGTTTGTATATACTTGGGTTGGACTAATGGTTGCAAACTTTCTGAGACCAAGTGTCTTCAGCTATAAAATGAGGACATAGGCAGAAAGGATAAAATTTGTATAAAGTAGCCAGCTCAGTGTATGACATATCAAAGGGCTCAATATCTAGTTGAATGAATTAATGAACCGACATTTCCATGGCAAAATTCTTAGAATGAGTGCACCGAAAATGGAAGGTCCTTTGTCTCTACCAATTTCTAACACCACAGCAGCTGCCTACAGCATTCTGTAGCCTCTAATTCAATTTATTACTATGGAAGCTAAAGTTTCAAATTTACTTAACCAAACTGCATAATAAATAAAAGAACCTCAGAGGACCATCTTTGTAACTTAGTGTCAGCACTGTAGTTAAATGCAGTTTATTTAATCTCTCCTTTAAAACAAGTTGCATCTTGCTGCTTATAAATCTGTTCTTCTTACAACCCTTCTGAGAAAATCCAGGAACCTGGCTTGGGCTTCCTGCCTACTCGTGGGCAGGTGAAGCAGCCTCTTTGATGCCCTGTGCTCCCATGCAATTAAGAAACAGATACTCACCCCTCTGGAGGCCGGTAGCCGTCTTCCACAGCTGCTGCAAGAACAAGAGGCAGAGTGAAGAAGAGGCACTGGCGGCAGCCTGATTACAGTGAATTATGTTTGTACAGGGACCTGACCTTACAGGCAAAACGTGGAGTGGTAACTCACCTGGGGCCCAAGACTCCCTGCCCCCAAGCACCAGGGGTCCACTGGTCCTACAGTGCAGCCCCCACCCATACTTCATGGCGCTCATTCATGGGTATGGACTCTTGTATTAGACTTCGACCTTCTTGAGCACTGGACTGTCCATGGGGGATGTCTATCACAGGGCCCAGGGCAAAGAGCACAGCGGCTCAGCACATGCTTGAAGTAACGGTCACACTGTATTTATTGAGCACTTACTGGCACCATAAATGTTGTTCAAACATTTCCCACCCTCATTTCCTTCATCCTCACATTAACCGTATGAGATGGGAGCTGTTACCATCCCCACATTACAGATTAAGACAATGATTCAATGAGAAATATGCCCAGATTTACATAGCAAGTGAGTGGGGAAGCTGGGGTTTATAATTCCCATTTTATTACAAAAGGCTTAGGACTTTGTTCATGTTCTCTGGCTAACTTCCCTTTCAGAGAGATAGCTTGAGGTCTGAATTAGTATTTATAAAGACATACTTAGCCTTCTCTGTTATCAGTGGCCATATTACTGAAGTTAGGAGCTCTCATATTCTTATAAGCACTCTCTTTCTGTCTATAGGGTTTTCTTTTAGGATAAGATTTAAGATGACTTAGATCAGTGGTTCTCAAAGTGTGGTCCCTGGGCCACCCAAGGGTCAGCATCCTTTTCTTCAAAAGGCAAATTCTCAGGCTCCCAGTGCAGACCAAATAAATCAGACATTGTGGGAATGGGGCCCCACCTCTCTATCTCAACAAGTTCTCTAGGTGATTCCAAGACATGCCAATGTTTGAGAACCACTGAGTTAAAGAAATGTAACCATGAGGTTGCCAACAGTAGTCAAATGAAGAGAATATGTTGGGTCTCCCAGTGCACCATGTGCTGGTGCTCACCACCACAGTAAAACAAATGTTGTGCAGCTCTACACAGCACTCTAAAGTGTATGTGCACTTCCTGCTCATTAAAGCAGACGGAGGCAAAGGCATTTAAAATGGTGAGTGTAGAAAGAGGATGAAAAGGTAGTCCTTTAAATAGCAGAGGAAGATACAAGACAGCACAGACAAATGGCTTCTGATGATGGTTCAGTTCCTGGACAGGACCAAAGGGAGTGGGGCGGTGGGCCCTTCAGTTCACTGTGGAAGGCAGATCGCAGAGGCCTGAGGGACCATTAGGATCACAGGCCAAGTTCGCACTGACTTTCCTCCCTCTTTCCTCCCTCCCCCTCTTTACCACACGGTGGTGTTGACAACACAGGCTTTGTAGGAAACACAAAGGCTCACTGCCTTCCCGCTTGACTACTTTTTGCTTTCTTCCTCTTGGACAGATTCCCAGCGATCAAAGGCAGAGCTCTCAGGGGAAGTGGGCTGGCCCCGCAGTGCTAAGGGGCCACTTGCCCGACAGTTGTCATTTCATGGGCAGGCTGCCACGGGCTCTCTGGGGGAATGAGCAGTGATAGATGCCCAGCTCCTGGGGAAAGCACTTTGGCACTGTCACCTGGGAGCCGATGGGGAAAGGGAGGTGACATGGAGGACACCGGCATGGGAGCCGTGCTCCCACCAGCTGCCTGGCTGCGGGCGCTACGCCTCTCCTCACCTTCCCCGTGGGTCTCTGGAGCGGCAGCTGCCCGCCTCTGGAAGGCCTGGAGCTTCACCCCTGGGGGTCTGGGAGGCTTTGCGGGAGGAGGACCCAGAGACCCAACAGAAGGCAGTGGCTTTGTTTTGAGCAGCTGGTGATGCCTGTCTTCCAGTTTTTTTTCTGAACGTAGATAAGAAAAAAAGGTAGATTATTAGTATTTCCATTTCATGGTTTCTTGAACAACTGACCAGTGTCCTGGTCTCTGTCTCACTCTCCTCCAATCTGTTCTCCAGTAGTTGGGGTGCCCTGATCAGAATGCACACCTGCTCACGTCACCATGCTGCTGTTCAGGGGACGAAGCCCAATTTCTTCCCTGTGACTCCCACTTACTCCATTTCTTGGCATGTGAACACCATCGCCCACCACGTGGAAATCTCCATTTCCAGATCCTTAGCTTACCACCCTAAACCATCCTACTTCCTCAACCTCAAGTCCAAATACCCTTCACTCAGACCAGGGGCTACTCAATTCTCCAGATTTGATTTAAATAGCCCTAAAAAGCTGTCATACAGCCATATGTTTATGCCATTCCTGGTTCTGAAATGCCGATTCCTCACTTCTGTCTTGGCAAGCTTTGACTTGTTCAAGGGCCTGTTTCAATGACACCTCCTCTAGGAAACTTTCCTTGATTTCAAAATCAAGGCCAGAATTAACCACACCCTGTTCTGAATCCCCATGACACATTGTTAATACTTCTCTGGGGAATATTAGAGGGGCTGGTCTATCTTCCCATTGAATGTCGGCTCCTTGTGGGCAGGGGTCAGGCCATACTGATCTCCCAGCACCAAGCACAGGACCTGCTTCAGAGGAAATGGATGATGACAACTGCCTGACAGGACTTTTTGAGCACTTACGATGAGCAAATAACATGGGGGCTATAAAGAGAAGTAGGAATTAATATCTGATTTCCAGGACTCATAGCCTAGGACAAGATTCAAGGCTAACTTTGTGGCATGTGGGCACGTGCAGACTTGTGTCCTGGAATTTTCCAGGACAGTCCCAACTTTATACATTTTGTCCTTCTGTACTCATAAGCCAGACTCCAAAAGAAATTATAATATTATATAAGAAAACTGTCTCTGCTTCTTACACTGAAAACAGCACAATCCAGGTGAATAATTGCATTATCCAAGTGCCTTGATTTTGGGTTGACATAATGCAGTAGTTGACTACGTGGGTAATCCATGCCGACACAAAAGAAGTTGGCTAGTGTTGCACCAACACCTCAGTGCAACTTCCTCAAAGCCCTGTTGTCCTCTGTCCTCTGCCCTCTGCAAGCCAGAAGGCGGGGGAAGCTTCCTTCTTGCCTCACCAGCAGGCGTTACAACAGTCATGGCCAAAGTCTCCTCTCTTCTTAGGCTTTAATTATAAGTCACAATGTCAGAGATTTCAATCTTTATAAATTTAAGGAGAAGATAAGAAAATGAATGATCACTTACTAACTGGGCTTCTAATTTTTATCAGGCACTGCACTAAGTGATTTACATGGCTTATCTCCCATTCATCCTCCCTCCCTCCCTTTTGTCCCTTTGTCAATAACTGTTTATATACTATATCCCAGGAATTGTTCTAGGGCTGGGTGGGTACAGAGTTAAGAACAAAAATAGATATAGTCCTGCCCTCAGGAATTTTCAATCTAATAGAGGAGACCAATGAAAATCGTGGAAACAAACAAGACGGTACAGAGATCTACTAGCTTCTTGAAGGAAATAGAAAAGAATGATATAAGAGTGTGAAATGCCACGTAATATAGTAGACTTTAGATAGAAAGGTTAAAGAAGGTTGTCTGGGAAAGTATCATTTGAACTTAGAACTAAGTCCGACTTAGACCTAAATAGAAAGGTCAAAGAAAAGAGTTCCTTAGGTAGAGGGAATAGCAAGTAGAAAGGTCCTGAAGCACAACAAAGTCTGCTCATCAAACAGCAAGAAATCCCGAGTGTTGACTAGTGAGCCAGAGGAAGAGAAACAGGAGACAAATCAGAGGCATAGGCAGGGACAAGGGGCTGCAGAGACATGGAATCAGTAGTAAGTAGTTTAGATTCTATTTTAAGTGCAAAGAGAAATCATATAGGGTCATAAGCAAGAGATCAGTCCATCCCCCATCTATCCACCCATTCATTTAATCATTCAATAATACCTTTGAGGACATGCTGAAACTGGCCCTGTTTTTTTAGGCACTTGGGGATATGGTAGTAAAAATGCAGTTTTTTTATATAAATCCTATGTAAATTACATTTTACTCAGGCAAACAAAAGATTTACATAGCAAGTGAGTGGGGAAGCTGGGGTTTATAATTCCCATTTTATTACAAAAGGCTTAGGACTTTGTTCATGTTCTCTGGCTAACTTCCCTTTCAGAGAGATAGCTTGAGGTCTGAATTAGTATTTATAAAGACATACTTAGCCTTCTCTGTTATCAGTGGCCATATTACTGAAGTTAGGAGCTCTCATATTCTTATAAGCACTCTCTTTCTGTCTATAGGGTTTTCTTTTAGGATAAGATTTAAGATGACTTAGATCAGTGGTTCTCAAAGTGTGGTCCCTGGGCCACCCAAGGGTCAGCATCCTTTTCTTCAAAAGGCAAATTCTCAGGCTCCCAGTGCAGACCAAATAAATCAGACATTGTGGGAATGGGGCCCCACCTCTCTATCTCAACAAGTTCTCTAGGTGATTCCAAGACATGCCAATGTTTGAGAACCACTGAGTTAAAGAAATGTAACCATGAGGTTGCCAACAGTAGTCAAATGAAGAGAATATGTTGGGTCTCCCAGTGCACCATGTGCTGGTGCTCACCACCACAGTAAAACAAATGTTGTGCAGCTCTACACAGCACTCTAAAGTGTATGTGCACTTCCTGCTCATTAAAGCAGACGGAGGCAAAGGCATTTAAAATGGTGAGTGTAGAAAGAGGATGAAAAGGTAGTCCTTTAAATAGCAGAGGAAGATACAAGACAGCACAGACAAATGGCTTCTGATGATGGTTCAGTTCCTGGACAGGACCAAAGGGAGTGGGGCGGTGGGCCCTTCAGTTCACTGTGGAAGGCAGATCGCAGAGGCCTGAGGGACCATTAGGATCACAGGCCAAGTTCGCACTGACTTTCCTCCCTCTTTCCTCCCTCCCCCTCTTTACCACACGGTGGTGTTGACAACACAGGCTTTGTAGGAAACACAAAGGCTCACTGCCTTCCCGCTTGACTACTTTTTGCTTTCTTCCTCTTGGACAGATTCCCAGCGATCAAAGGCAGAGCTCTCAGGGGAAGTGGGCTGGCCCCGCAGTGCTAAGGGGCCACTTGCCCGACAGTTGTCATTTCATGGGCAGGCTGCCACGGGCTCTCTGGGGGAATGAGCAGTGATAGATGCCCAGCTCCTGGGGAAAGCACTTTGGCACTGTCACCTGGGAGCCGATGGGGAAAGGGAGGTGACATGGAAGACACCGGCATGGGAGCCGTGCTCCCGCCAGCTGCCTGGCTGCGGGCGCTACGCCTCTCCTCACCTTCCCCGTGGGTCTCTGGAGCGGCAGCTGCCCGCCTCTGGAAGGCCTGGAGCTTCACCCCTGGGGGTCTGGGAGGCTTTGCGGGAGGAGGACCCAGAGACCCAACAGAAGGCAGTGGCTTTGTTTTGAGCAGCTGGTGATGCCTGTCTTCCAGTTTTTTTTCTGAACGTAGATAAGAAAAAAAGGTAGATTATTAGTATTTCCATTTCATGGTTTCTTGAACAACTGACCAGTGTCCTGGTCTCTGTCTCACTCTCCTCCAATCTGTTCTCCAGTAGTTGGGGTGCCCTGATCAGAATGCACACCTGCTCACGTCACCATGCTGCTGTTCAGGGGACGAAGCCCAATTTCTTCCCTGTGACTCCCACTTACTCCATTTCTTGGCATGTGAACACCATCGCCCACCACGTGGAAATCTCCATTTCCAGATCCTTAGCTTACCACCCTAAACCATCCTACTTCCTCAACCTCAAGTCCAAATACCCTTCACTCAGACCAGGGGCTACTCAATTCTCCAGATTTGATTTAAATAGCCCTAAAAAGCTGTCATACAGCCATATGTTTATGCCATTCCTGGTTCTGAAATGCCGATTCCTCACTTCTGTCTTGGCAAGCTTTGACTTGTTCAAGGGCCTGTTTCAATGACACCTCCTCTAGGAAACTTTCCTTGATTTCAAAATCAAGGCCAGAATTAACCACACCCTGTTCTGAATCCCCATGACACATTGTTAATACTTCTCTGGGGAATATTAGAGGGGCTGGTCTATCTTCCCATTGAATGTCGGCTCCTTGTGGGCAGGGGTCAGGCCATACTGATCTCCCAGCACCAAGCACAGGACCTGCTTCAGAGGAAATGGATGATGACAACTGCCTGACAGGACTTTTTGAGCACTTACGATGAGCAAATAACATGGGGGCTATAAAGAGAAGTAGGAATTAATATCTGATTTCCAGGACTCATAGCCTAGGACAAGATTCAAGGCTAACTTTGTGGCATGTGGGCACGTGCAGACTTGTGTCCTGGAATTTTCCAGGACAGTCCCAACTTTATACATTTTGTCCTTCTGTACTCATAAGCCAGACTCCAAAAGAAATTATAATATTATATAAGAAAACTGTCTCTGCTTCTTACACTGAAAACAGCACAATCCAGGTGAATAATTGCATTATCCAAGTGCCTTGATTTTGGGTTGACATAATGCAGTAGTTGACTACGTGGGTAATCCATGCCGACACAAAAGAAGTTGGCTAGTGTTGCACCAACGCCTCAGTGCAACTTCCTCAAAGCCCTGTTGTCCTCTGTCCTCTGCCCTCTGCAAGCCAGAAGGCGGGGGAAGCTTCCTTCTTGCCTCACCAGCAGGCGTTACAACAGTCATGGCCAAAGTCTCCTCTCTTCTTAGGCTTTAATTATAAGTCACAATGTCAGAGATTTCAATCTTTATAAATTTAAGGAGAAGATAAGAAAATGAATGATCACTTACTAACTGGGCTTCTAATTTTTATCAGGCACTGCACTAAGTGATTTACATGGCTTATCTCCCATTCATCCTCCCTCCCTCCCTTTTGTCCCTTTGTCAATAACTGTTTATATACTATATCCCAGGAATTGTTCTAGGGCTGGGTGGGTACAGAGTTAAGAACAAAAATAGATATAGTCCTGCCCTCAGGAATTTTCAATCTAATAGAGGAGACCAATGAAAATCGTGGAAACAAACAAGACGGTACAGAGATCTACTAGCTTCTTGAAGGAAATAGAAAAGAATGATATAAGAGTGTGAAATGCCACGTAATATAGTAGACTTTAGATAGAAAGGTTAAAGAAGGTTGTCTGGGAAAGTATCATTTGAACTTAGAAAACTAAGTGCAAAAAGGGACTTAGACCTAAATAGAAAGGTCAAAGAAAAGAGTTCCTTAGGTAGAGGGAATAGCAAGTAGAAAGGTCCTGAAGCACAACAAAGTCTGCTCATCAAACAGCAAGAAATCCCGAGTGTTGACTAGTGAGCCAGAGGAAGAGAAACAGGAGACAAATCAGAGGCATAGGCAGGGACAAGGGGCTGCAGAGACATGGAATCAGTAGTAAGTAGTTTAGATTCTATTTTAAGTGCAAAGAGAAATCATATAGGGTCATAAGCAAGAGATCAGTCCATCCCCCATCTATCCACCCATTCATTTAATCATTCAATAATACCTTTGAGGACATGCTGAAACTGGCCCTGTTTTTTTAGGCACTTGGGGATATGGTAGTAAAAATGCAGTTTTTTATATAAATCCTATGTAAATTACATTTTACTCAGGCAAACAAATATATAGGTAGGGATAAATGATCTGAAGAAAACCAAAGCAGTGTAAGAAGATAGAGTGATGGGGGTGAGGTGGCTATTTTAGATGGAGTGATCCACAGATTCCACTCACAACAGGTGGCACTGAGCAGTGACCTTGAAGAAGTGAGGGAATGAGACATCAGGAAGAATGTTCCAAGAAGAGGAATCAGCAAGTCCAAAGGTCCTGGGGTGGGACCAGCTTGGTATATCTATGGAAGAGCAAGAAGGCTACTGTGAGAACAGGGTAAGGGAGTAGGCAAAGACCAAGCCCCTGAGCCACTGTGACTGGAGGCTACTAAGCGGGGGAGTGATGTGATCTGATCCATGCTTTACAGAACACAATGTAAGAGGGAAAGAGTATGGAAGCAGGGAAACCAGCTGGGCAATGGTCCAGGTGAGAGAGGATGGTGATGGAGATAAAGGCAGAGGGCAAAATGGTCAGGAGGGGAGGGATTCAGAACATACTTCGGTGGTGGAACCAAGAGCCTGCTGGTGGATGTGATGGAGAGAGTGAGGGCAGGAGAGGAATGGAGCATGAGTCCTAGGTTTTAGCTTCAGCATCTGAGAGAATGGCTGTGCTGTTTACCGAGGCAGGAAGCCTGGCAGCAGATCTGATTTACAGAAGAGCAGACCAGGCTCTAAGAAGTTAAGCAGATTGGCCAAGTTCATACATCTTGTATGTGGAGCTAGGATTCATATCCAAATTTGCCCAACTCAGTATAATGAGTCTCTCAATATAATGCCAGGAAATTAAGCACTCTACCCAAACCTAACATAGAATTCAGAAAATTGCACTGGATTGTAGAGCAAACATTCCCCAGGTCACATATGACCATCTCAAGTCAGCAGGCTCTAGATGGGAAAACCACAGTGACCCTCCCCTGGGGCCCATGGGATTACATTTCTCACCTGGGGCCTGGCTGGTGAGCTCGCTCTCATAGATAGGCTGGCAGGGGCTCCCCGCTGGGCTCTTCTTAGGACTGGGGTTTTCTAGGCCCTTCCTGCCTTTTTGAGAAAGTAGGAAGGTAGGGTCTTTAGAGAGATCAGGTGACTTTCTTTGGGCCATCAGGTGCCTCTGGGAAGGAAGGGTCTGGCCTCCTTTTATGTCCAGCCTTTTCCTGGGCTCCTTTAGAGTGAGCCCTGTGCTCTTCTGCTCTTCCAGGTGGAAGGCCCTACTTCCACAATTGGCAGGGAGGAAGGCTGATGACAGCTCACTTTTCTGAGATGAAACCTGCTCCCAGTTCCAGAGCTTGTCTCTGAAACTATTAGCTGCCATTACTTTCTTCTCAGCATTGGGCTGATTCGTGTCTAATAGCAGAGAACCTGTCTGTGAATTTACCGCAAACCCAGTAGACCTTTCTGGAGGTCCTGGAGAATTGGAATATTTCTGAATCTTGCTCCTTTGGGACAACTTCATTTTTGGGGGCTTATGAGGCTGGAGTTCATCACTGGAGCAGTTTTGTGGGAGCTGATTGTGGTTGGATGAAAGGGGCTTCCCATTGGCCAAAATCTTTGTTGACTGTATGGTTCCAATGTCCCTCTTCTGAGAAACACCTGCTGCAAATTTAATAGGCCCAGGAAGAGATGGTGCATCAAGCTTTTGAAATTTGGCTCGAAGTTCCTTGAAGCTTCTTATTGCTTCCTACAATACAAAAAGAAAAAAAAAGTTTCATTATTCTAGGAGAAAAAATTAGCCAACTTCACTATGCATGCTGAGGGGCTCTGAGGGCCAGTGTAATGGCAGTGCTTACCAACTGGGCAATATCAGCCAGTAATGTTACTGCCTTTGTGATAAATGAAAACTGTCTCCTTCTTGAAACTCTTCATATATGCTGAGTTTCTTCACAACATATAAAGAATACTTATTAAGGAGACTATTAACAATCGCTGATAAATCCCTTGATACAAATTTTTTATGGCTCCTTTTTGCCTATACAAATATGTTCTAAATCCCTTAGGATGGCATTTAAGATTCCTCATAATGTGGTGGAATTATGATCCCCAACCACAGCCCCAGGCAACTACCCCTAATCCAAACTGGACTATAGTTTTCCTAGAAACCTTGTACTGTCCATACCCTGACTTTGCTTGTGTGTTTTTGCTTCACAAAGTCACCCCCTGACATCTACTTTTTAACTGCTTTCTTATGACTTCAATATCCACCTCCACCATCAGAATGTTCCTTGGGGATGACAGGTAGTGCTAACTTCTTCCCTGTCCCCTTGTACTTCCATAGCCCTTGATAACCGGACTGTTGGTCTTCATACCATGGGGTGGAGAAAAGAGCCCACTTTGGAACTAGACAGGTCTGTGTTCAAACTCTGACTCTGCTCTTCACCATCTAGGCAAACACTTTGGGAGACGTGGTGTTACCAATACTTGGTATTACCTCCAAGTGCTGCCTCATCATAACAGTAGGTGGCCAAGTGGCAGAAGGATGAGAACTACTATATGTAAAGTGTCTGTCACAGCTCCTGGCACACAGTAAGCCCATGATGAAAGTTAGTTACAAGAGGCTAATGATCCTGTTGTATTTTCAAGTTCCCTTGGGAGATTAGGCTCTTCTAAATTCAGCTCAAATTCAATATATGCAGACATTGGTAGTGACAGCAGCAGCACGCCCCTGTGCCCCGCCTTGGGGCAGAGGAGGGCTGTACCCACGACTATACGGCTATACGGTGAGCAGGTGTCAGTAGGTAGGGTCAGGCTTGACTCCTGCTCAGTGCTCCTCCCACTGCTCCCCGCTTTCTCACTAGATCTAATTTAGTTCTGTGCACGTTTTGTCATCTTCCCAGGGAGTAGGAGGGGGTGGAAACAGAGTGCGGGAGGATATCTAATGGAGCCATTTCAAGAAGGGAGGGCCACCGTCTTCTGATCATCGTAAATACAGGTCTTAATTTCACGCACACAGACAATGTCCATGCCAGTGACTTCTGATTCAGCCAGTGGAGGGGATGTTGACTGACCTTTCTTACTGTGTTTATAGTTGACTCACACCTGCCTTCTGAAGATTTAGGAAGGGAGGGAAATTAAATAAGAAGATGAAGCAGGTGCTGGGAGCTTGCTTGTATGCGTTCTTGCCAGCCCATTCCCTTCCCTCCTTCCCTCTTCCCTCCCTCCCTCCCTCTCTCTCTCTCTTTCACACACACACACACACCATGCACACATTTATAGCTTTCTCCACAAATTGCCAAGTGCTGATTTCTTATATTTCAACCAGCAGCCAAATTAATTCAACTACACGTCCTCTTCCCTGAAGTGGGAGAAGCCAGCGCCGGGCACAGAAGCAGGAGACCTGAGTCTAAGGCTCAGCTTCGCCACTTTCTAGTGAGGTGCCTAGTACAATTCACTGCACTTCCCTGAGCCTTACCTTCCTCACTATAAAATGGGGTGGCTCTACTAATGGTCCCAAATTATTGTACAGATCCAAGGAGATAACAGTTGTATATACCTCAGTGGTCAATATGTTTTGTTTGTGGTAAAATACACATAAAATTTACCACCTTACCCATTTCTAGGCATACAGTTCAACAGTGTTAAGGGCATTCACATTGTTGTGAGCCTCCAGAACTCTTTCATCTTGTAAAACTGAAACTCTATACCCATTACACAACAGCTCCTCAACCTCTGGCAACCATACTTTACTTTCCGTCTCTAAGAATCTGACTACTCTAAGTACTTCACATAAGTGGAATTATACAGTATTTGCCTTTTTGTGACTGGCTCATTTCACTAAGTATAATGTTCTCAGGGTTCATCCATGTTGTAGCATGTGACAGAATTTCCTTCCCTTTAAAGGTTGGATAATATCCCATTGTATGTATACACCACATTTTGTCTATCCACTCATTTGTTGATGGAACACTTCCACTTTTTAGCTATTGTGAATAATGCTGCTTTGAAGATGGTGTACAAACATCTCTTTGAGACCCTGCTTTCAATTCTTTTTGGGTGTTTGACCAGACATGGAATTGCTATATTGCCATATTGTTTTCACTAACAGCTGCATTTTACATTCTTACTAACAGTACACAAAGGTTCCTATTTCCACACATCCTTATAACACTTTTTTTTATAGTAGCTATCCTAATAGGTGTGAAGAGGTCAGTGGTTAATATTTTTAAAGGAATATAATGATGATTATTTTTAGCTCTTCACTATCTGAAGCCACATGAACTAAAATGTTATTGCTTGGAAGACTTTAGTCTCTGTAGGAATGATTAGAAAAACCCTCGCGGGCAATAGAATTATGGGTTGATTACCTCCAAACCAAAGTCCTGTATAAATATCACTAGTCCAGGTGGAAGCAAACCTGATTATATACCTGGCTTATTCCTCTTTCAACAAATGTTCATTAATATCTATTATATGGTCCAAACATAGTTTTAGACAGCAAGGGCTCAGTTCTTCAATATTACATTTAATGTCAGAGAGAGTCAGAAAATAACCAAATACACATGAAAATATTAGAGAGAAGTGCTATGTGGGGAAATTAAATAGGTGACTCTATAAAGAGCACCTGGAAGCCAACCAGTGCTTTTCAGAGTTATCCCAACAAAGTCATTCCTTTGCTCTGGGTTCAGTCATCTGTCAGATGAGGTTGACCCAGGTAATTTCCAGGGTCCCTTTCAGCACTAACATTTGGATTTTAGTTTTCTTGTTACGGGAAATAGAAGTGCTGCATTCTGTTTTTTATTATTCATCACCCACAGGTAGAAGGTCAGGATTGAGGGCATGGGGCAAGTTGCATGAGGATGGGTTAGGAGGTGGCCAAGGGGGCATTCCAGTCAAAACCATGTTCCACTTTTCTGGGTCCACAACTAGTCAGTTATGTATCTTACTGATCTTAAGTCTTAACAAAGCCCATGACCCTGTCCCTTCATGCCATTGCCACTGCCTTCAAGTCCTTATCACTTATTGCTTACAATGACATCTTTTTTTTAAGTTAAAGTATTGTTGATATACAATCTTATGTTGGTTTCAAATATACAACACAGTGGTTCAATAGTTATGCACAGTGTTAAATCCTCAACCCCTTTAGTGCAGTTACTATCTGTTAATGTAGTTAAGATGTTACAGAATCTTTGACTATATTCTCCATGCTGTACCACCGTCCCGTGACCAACTTATATTGTGATTGCAAATTATTGTGTCCCTTTATCCCCTTAACCTTCCCCCCAATCGACCCCAACCCTACCCCCTTGGTAACCACTAGTTACCTTCTCAGTGTCTGTGAGTCTACTGTTATTTTGTACCTTCTGTTTTGCTTTGTATTTATACTCCACAAATAAGTGAAATCATATGATATTTGTTTTTCTCTACCTGACTTATTTCACTGAGCATAGCCCTGTATTTCCATCCATGTTGTTGCAAATGACAGGATTACTTTTACTTCTAAGGCTGAATAATATTCCATTGTGTATATGTACCACCTCTGCTTCATCCATTCATCTGCTGATGGACACTCAGGCTGCTTCCATGTCTCGGCTGTGCAATGACATCCTCAGGCTCTCTCTGCTTCCACTCTGCACTCCTCTCACCCATCAGGACTCAGCTGTGAGACAAACAAGCTCAATTTTTTTTACTTAGCACATAGGCCCTTTCTAATGCCAACTCTTATCTTTCTGTTATTATCTTGGACCCTTCCTAGACATGATTTCTTCCTTCTGGCCTCACTGAATTACATATATTTTCCCAAAACTATTTCATTCTTTCATGTCTCTGTACTTTTGAATATGTGGTTTCCTTTGCCTGGAATGCCCCTTTTCCAAATTTCTTGAACTGGCAAATTCTTACTTGTTCAAAATTCAACTCGTGTCACCTCAAAATATTCATTGGTTTCCTACTTTGTGTTAGGCACTAGATTTACAAAGATTAATAATATAGTGCCTAACCTTTTGGAGCACATAGAATGAGGGAGGCAGCACAAATTGATCATTTTAACATAATAGAGAATGTTATCAGATGCACTGGCACAAAGTCTCTGTGCGAATGTAATTAAGAGGTCATGATGATAATGAGTGTGCAAAGGTAGTTTTAGAGAGATCACTCCTCAGCTGAAACAGGTAGTCAAGCAAGGATGGGGGGAAGGCAGCCCCAACAGAGAGACGAGCACGGACGGAGCAAGACAAGCTGAAGCAGCACACGCAGATGGGAAGAATAAGGATTCCATATTACTGAAGCCCCACTGTTCAGAACAAGAGAACAAAGTCAAGGTCAAGTCTCCTTAACATAGTTGGGCTTAATCTTCAGAGTAGATGGTGAGCTACTGATGAGTTTTACCCAGGGCTATGGCACGGTTAGACTTACACTTCATGCAGATGAAAGACCAGAAACCAATCAGGAAGCCGCTACAATGGCAAGTAAAAATGATGAAACGCTGGACCTGGGCGATGTTGGTTAGAATGGAAAACAGACATGTGCAGGGAGTAATAGGGATGGAACCTGGGGACTGAGTGGGTCTGAAAGAGAAGGGAGGGCAGATTCCAGGATGGTACCTGGGTTTCTAAACTGGGTGAGAGGCTCGGTGTTGGCACTTGAAACTAAGATTCAGACAGGAGATAAAAGTGTTGGGGAAGGATGACGGGCCCAGTTTTGGATGGGATGTTTTGCCTTCTTAGGGGAGCCACCTAATCGGTAGTT